ACCAGTACGGGCACAGGAAGGCGATGCAGCTCAGCCGGTAGCAGCACCCCAACATGATGCCCAGCGCCCCTGCGGGCACGGGACCCTCAGTGTGTGCCCTGTCCCCTCCCGGTGCCACCCCCTCCCTGTCCCCAGCCCTCCCCCCAGTCCAGTGCCCACCCCAGTGCCAGACCCCAACACGATGCCTGGTGCCCCTGTGGGCACCCCACATTTTGTGTCCCCCTGGGAACCCTCTTGGTGCCACCCTCTGCCTGTCCCCAGACTGCCTGAGCTCCCCTCCCCGTCCATCACAGTCCCAGTGCCCATTCCCACCCAGTGCCAGTCCCCACCATGGTCCCTGTCCCCATCCCACCCTCGTTTCTGTCCTAGTGCCATCCCCCAGTGCCCATCTCAGTGCCTTGGTCCAGACACTGTCCCAGTGCCACCCCCCTACCTGTCCCCTTCTGTGTCCCCATCCTCCCCCAGTTCCTCTCCCAGTCCATCCCAGCGCCCATTCCAGTCCATCCCACCGCCCATTCCCACCCAGTGTCCGTCCCCCCGTATTTCTGCCACAGTGCCATCCCTGCCTGTCCCCGCCCTCCCTGGTCCCTCCCAGCCCGTACCCAGGAACATGATGGTGTAGAGCAGGTACATCCAGTCGAGGGGCAGGGGCTGCAGGAAGGGCAGGAGGGGGAAGCGACAAACCTCGAGCCCGTCCAGGTACCGCTGGTCCAGGTGGCCCAGCCCCCGCTCCTGCGGCACGTCCAGCGCCATCAGCAGCCCTGGGGGGCGGGGGGTGGGGTCAGTGACCCCCGTCCGGGAGGGCATTGACCCCCCCTCCGGCCCCAAACCGCCACCCAACCTTTGTTCCGCTGCTGACGTGTTACTGCCCGGCCGCCTCCATCCCCCTCGGACAGCAGGGACCCCCGGATCCCAGCCATCCCTCTCCCAAAGTCCCCGAGCCTCTCCCCGAGACCCTGGATCCCCTGAGCCCCTCCAGACCCGGCCTCTCTGCCCCCCGGAGCTCCCCAGGAGCGCCCCCCGCCCCTCCCAGCCCCCGTTTCGGTGTCTTTCCCGCAGCCCCTCCAGCCTCCCCGAGCCCCGCAGCGCTCGAAGCCAGTCTGGACCCCACAGCCCCGTTTCCCTGTCCCCCCGGTTACTCCCCTGAAGCTCCCCCAGTCCCTGTTCCCCCCAGAGCCCCTTGGTCGCCCCCAGTCTCCTTGTCCGCCCGAAGCACCTCCGGCCATCCCCGGTCCCGCCCAGTCCCGGGACCCCCAGAACACCCCCCGGGCTCCCCAGCCCCGCTCTCCCCGTCCGCTCAGCGGCCCGCGAGCTCCAGTGCCCCCCGGAGCCCCCGCGCTGCTCCCATCCCGGAGCTCTCCCGGTCCCTCCGGAGCCCCCCCGGTCCCCGCTGACCGAAGGCGGCGCGGAAGGCTCCGAGCGCCGCGGGGTCCTGGGGCCGGTGCATCAGCCGGACGAAGCGGTGCCAGCGCGTCAGGTCCCGCAGCTCGAACCCGAGCAGCCGCCGCGCCAGCCCGGGGCCGGTCCCGGGGGTCCCGGAAGGGCCGGGGGGTCCCGGGGGCGGCCCCGCCGCCGCCGCCGCCTCCCCCCGCTCCGGCCGCCTCCGCCGCGCCGGGCCTGCCGGGGGTCACAGGTCAGGGGTCCCGTCCCGGGGGTCCCGCGCCCCCCGCCCCGTTCCCGGTTCCCCGTTCCCGATTCCGCACCCGCCGCCGCCGCCATCGCCACGACCCCGCCCCTCCGCGACGTCACGGCGCGTCATGGCCCCGGCAGCCAATCAGCGATGCGGTGGGCGGGGCAAATCGTCCACACCCCGTCTAGCCCCGCCCTAACCCCGCCCCCGCCCTGCCCCGGGACCCCGAGCCGGGACCCCGAGCCAGGACCCCGAGCCAGGACCCCCGGACCTCCGACCACCTCACAGCTCCCCCTCGGCCGCGGCACCGCCCGGCCGCCCCAAGATCCCGCCCAGCCCCGGCCCCCCGCCCCGCCGAGACCCCCGCCCCGGCCCTCCGCGACCACCCCCGCAACATCCTCCCAGCCCCGGCACCCCGACCCGCCGCGCCCCCGCTCCGCCCCCAGCCCGGCGCCCCCGCCCCGACCCGCCCTGCCCCGGCCCGCCCCCGGTCCGCCCCGTCCCAGCAGTGCCGCTGCTCCCGGAAGCCCCGGGCAGGCGGTGGGAGCGAGGCAGGACCGGACCGGCCATGGTGGGGCCGGGGACACCGGCAGGGGTCCCTCGGGGGCGCCGGGCTGGGCAGGGGCGGTCAGGGGGTCCGCAGGGCAGCCCCTGGGGTGTTCAGGGGGTTTGGGGGTGTCTGTGGAGGGGGGGGGTGTCCGGGGTGCCCATAGGGTGCTTGGGGGTCCCTCTGGAGGGTCCCTGTGGGGTATCCGGGGTGCGTGCGGGGGTCTGGGGTACACACGGGCTGCCAAGAGTGCCTGTGGGGTACTGGGGGAAGTGCCTGTGGGGTGATCGACGTGGATACTGGGGGCATATGGAGTGTACGTGGGGTGCCAGGGGGGTGCCTATGCGGTGTGAGGGGTGCCCGGGGTACCCACAGGGTGCTTGGGGGTCCCTCTGGGGGTTCCGGGGTGTGTGGGGGTCTGGGGTGTCCGTGAGGTGCTTGAGGAAGTGCCCAGGGTGCTTTGGGGTGCCCATAGAATGCTTAGGGGTTCCTCTGGGGGGTGTGTGGGTGTCTGGGGTGCCTAGAGGGTGCTGGGGGGTGCCCGGGGAACCCATAGGGTGCCTAGGGAAGTGCCTGGGGGTGCTTGGGTTGAACGTGGGGCACTTGCAGGGTGCTCAGGGCACCTATGGGGCCCGGGGAGTGCCCAGGGTACATACAGGGAGCTGGGGGTGCCTGGGGTGTCCCAGCAGGGCTCGGCGGGTGCTTGGGGTGCCTGGGGGTGTCTGGGATGGGTGTGGGTGCTCGGGGGGTGCCCATGGAGGGGTGGTGGGTGCCCAGGGTACTGCTGGGAGTGCCCCTAAGCCCTGCCCCGTGCTGCAGGCGGGGGTCCCGGCGGGGGTCCCTGGGGTGGACCCGGCAGATGCCACGACGGGGGACGGGCGCGTGCGGGCGCTGCAGAGGGAGGTGCAGGGGGTCACCACCATCATGACCCAGAACGTGGAGCGGATCCTGGCACGGGGGGAGAACCTGGAGCAGCTGCACAGCAAGAGCCAGGACCTGGAGGCCACTGTGAGGGGGGCACAGGGGCACTGGGGTGGGCACTGGGACCCCATGGTGGGCACAGGGTCGTTGGAGTGGGCATGGGGTCATTGGGGTGGGCATGGGGTGGCATGGGGTCACCAGTGGGGCAACAGGGTCATCAGGGTGGGCACAGGGACCCCAGGGTGGGCATGGGGTCGTCAGGGTCTCTGAGGTGATCACAAAGCCCCTGAGGTGGCACAGGACTCCTGGGTGGGCACAGGGTCCCTGGGGTGGGCGCTGGGACCCTGGGGGGGCACACGAGGTCCCCAAGGGGGCTGCAGGGTGCCCAGTGGGTTGGCATGGGACACTCGGGTGGCAGGAGGTGTCCCTGAGGTGGCAGCGGGGGACCCCAGGCCTGCAGTTGGTGTCCCTGGGGTGGCAATGGGGTGTCCCCAGGGAGTCAGGGATGTCCCCAGGGTTGCAGTGGGGTGTCCCCAGGGGTCAGAGCTGTCCCTTGTGTGGCAGTTGGTGTCTCCAGAGTAGCCAGGTGTCCCCGGGTTGGCAGTGTTGTCCCAGGAGTGGCAGCCAAGTGTCCTCAGAGTGGTACTGGGTGGTCCCCAGGGTGTCAGCTGTGTCCCCAGGGTGTCACAGGTGTCCCTGGGGTGGCAGAGGTGTCCCCAAGGGGGCAGTGGGTTGTCCTCAGGGTGTGAGGGCTGTCCCCAGTGTCTCAGCGGGTGTCCCCAGGGTGGCACTGGGGGTGTCAGGGATGTCCCCAGGGTGGCAGTGGGGTGTCCCCAGGGTGTCAGAGGTGTCCCCAGGGTGTCAGAGTTGTCCCCAGGCCGTCAGGGGTGTCCCCATGTCCCCGCAGTCAGAGCACTTCCGCACCACGTCCCAGAAGATGGCCCGGCGCTACTGGTGGAAGAACGTGAAGCTGCTCATCATCCTCGGCCTCGTGGGCGCCATCGTCCTCATCATCATCATCCTCCTGGCCACCGGCACCATCCCCACCCAGAGCCACCGTCCCACGGGGACACAGCCACCCTGAGGCTGAATACAGATGGGGGGACAAGACACAGGGACTCCTGTGTGTGTGTGTGTGTGGGGGGACACACATGGGGGACAGACGGACATGGGGGGACACAGATGGACACGGGGGGATGGGCACGGGGACATGGGGGGACACAGGGACATGGGTGGATGGACATGGAGGGACACATGGGGACATGGGGGGACACAGGGACACAGACATGGGGACACTGGGGACACATGGGGGACATGGGAATATGCATGAGGAGATGGGGGACAAGGGGAGGGACAGGCCCTGGGGACATGTGGGGATAGGAGTGGGGACACACACATCAGGTCACAAGGGGAACACGCGTGGGGACGCGGGGGGGGCCAGCAGATGCCATGGCAGGGCGTGGGGGTGGTGCCAGGCACAGAGGGACAAAGGGCACAGTGTGGTGGTGGTGGCACTGCCACCCTGGGGGGGCTGGGACGGGCGGGGGACAGGGACATGGGAGGATATGGGTGGCCCTGTGTCTGCAGGGACTTGGGGACACCAACATGTGGGGGGCTGTGGGGACCCGTTTCTGGGGGACAGGGCGGTCCTTGGGGGACACATGTCTGGGGATATGAGGGTCCCTGGGGACACGGAACACCCCAGTATTTGGGGCCTGTAGGGATGGGGGGGTCTCTGGGGACATGGGGGGCCCTTGGGGGCTGTAGGGACAGGAGGGTCTCTGATGGCCCCACATCTGGGGACAGGGGGGTCCCAGGGGACCCCGCAGCTGGGGGGAGGACCGGGATGTCCAGGGGACATCTGGAGACACTCGGGGCAGGGGGGGCGGGGGCAGTCTCAGTCCCTCCCGTCGGGGGCGGCCGCTGGAACACGGGACGGGACGGGCGCTCCGGGACCGGCCCGGGCACCGGCATCGGGACCGGGACCGACCTCCGGGACCGCACTGAGCCCCCGGGACCGGGACCATGGTGAGTCCCGGGCCACCAGCGCCGCTTTCGCTTTCGCTTCCGGAGGGCGGAGCAGGATGGGGAGACCCCCGGGATTGGGGAGACCCCCGGGCTCGGAATTTCCCGGTGCCGGTCCCGGTGCGACCCCCCGAGCTGTCCCTGCGGGCGGGAGGGTCACCACCCCCCTCGGGGTGACCTGCGCGGGACTTTCCGTGTCCCCCGTCTCTGCGTGTCCCGTCCCCCGTGTCGTCTGTGTCCCCTGCCGCGCCCCGTCCCCTCCAGCCCCGGTAATCCCGGTGTCCCCGTGTGTGCCCCGACCCCGCAGAGCCCGTGTCCCCCCGATCCTCGTCCTTGGCCCATGTCCCCACGCTTTGCTGTCCCCGTGGTCCCTGTGTGCCCCCTCCTCGCAGTACCAGTGTCCCCGCGGTGCCCTCGTCCCCACGGTCCCAATGTGCCTCTTCCCTGCGGTGTCCTTGTCCCCACGGTCCCCGTGGTGCCCCTTCCCTGGGGTGCTCCTGTCCCCACGGTCCCTGTGACCCCTGGTCACCCTTTGTCCCCGGATTGCCAGTGTCCCCATGATCCTCACGTCCCCACGGTCCCCACAGTCAGTCCCCCTTCCTCATGGTGCCCGTGTCGTCGGTGTTCCCCTCTTGTCCCTGTGGCATTTCCGTGGCCCTGCGCTCCATGACCCCACAGTCCCCATAGTCCCAATATCCCCATGGTCGGTCCCTGTGTCCCAACGCTCTCCGTGTCCCCACGGTCCCCCGTCCCTGCGGGTGCCCCCACCCTCAGCGTTCTCACAGCGTCTCGCCCCGTGTCCCCTCGGTGTCCCCCCATGTCCCCTGTGTTCCCAGGCGGGGCTGGCGCGGTGCCAGCGCCAGGCGGAGGAGGTGACGGAGCTGATGCGGCAGAACGTGGAGCGGGCGATGGAGCGGGAAGGGCACCTGGAGCGGCTGCAGAGCCGGGCCCAGGACCTGCGACAGGCGGTGGGACCGCGGGGACGGGCGGGGATGCACGGCCAGGGAGGGGGGGTGGCACCACAGGGACACACAGATCTGGGGACACACGTGGCCGGGGGTGGTGGCACTACTGGGACACCTGGAGTGGCTGCAGACCCGGGCTTGGGACCCCCGGGGACACAGGGACGGGGGTGGCACTACAGAGACATATGGCCCTGGGAGGGGACACACAGAGCCCTGGGGGACACTATGGGGACACACGGCCTGAGGGGGACACACAGAGCCCTGGGGGGTATTATAGGGCTGTAGAGCCCTGGGGAGGGGACACAGGGCCATGCAGGGGCTGTACGTGGGCTGTCCCCTGTAGCCCCCCGTGTCCCACTGCAGAGCGAGGCCTTCACCCGCAGCACTCGGGCGGTGACGCAGCGACAGCGCCGGGGACAGCGCCGGTGGCTCCTGGTGGCCCTCGGCCTCGGCCTCTTCGTCCTCCTCCTCCTCCTCCTGGGCCTGGGCCTGGCACTGGCCCTGGCACAGTCACCCCCAGCCACTGCCACTGTCCCCACCCCACAGGCACGGACTGAGCCCCCCCCAGCACCGTGGAGCCCCTTTGACAACAGAGACACGGGGGGGGAAGGGCATGATAAATAAACAGCAGGACTTGTTTGGGTAGACCCTACCATAACAAACCAGTGGGATGATCTTCAGGGAGACCCTACAATAAATAAGCACCAGGATCTCACTCGGGGAGACCCGACATTAACAAACCCGCAGGATGAGCTCTGGGGAGACCCTACAATAAATACACACCCGGATCTGCTTTGGAGAGACCCTACAATAACAAACGTGCCAGACCTTCTTTGGAGAAACTGTACAAGAAGAGAAGAGCGGGAGCCACTCAAGGGAGAGCCTGTAATAAACACCAGCAGCTCTTTGGGGAGACCCTACAATAACAAACCAGCAGGACCCACTTCAGGGAGACCCTATGATAAATCAGCAGCAGCACATGATTTGGGGAGACCCTACAATAACGGAGCGGCAGGATGAGCTCCAGGGAGACCTTACGACAATGAACATGCTGGACCCACTCTGGGGAGACCCTACAATAAACAAGCACCAAGACTTGTCTGGGGAGACTCTACAGTCACAAACCAGGAGAACGAACTTCAGGGACACCCTACAATAAATAAATAACCTGGATCCGTTTTAGGGAGACCCTATAATAACAAAAGCTCCAGATTCTGCTTTGTAGATACCCTAGAATAACAAATCAGCAGGATGAGTTCTGGAGACACCCTACAATAAATAAACACCAGGACTCCTTTGGAGAGACCCTACAACAACAAACATGCTGGACCCCCTCTGGGGTGACCCTACAATAAAAGCAGTGGGGTGATCTCCAGGAAGACCCTACAATCAATCAACACTGGGATGTGTTTGGGGAAACCCCACAATGACAAATAAGGGGGATTGATTTGGGGTAGACCCCGCAATAACAAACCCATGGGATCTACTTTAGAGAGACCCTACAATAAATAACCACCAGGATTTATTTGGAGAGACCCTACAGTAACAAACTAGCAGGTTGGTGACCCTACAACAACAAACATGCTGGACCCACTTGGGGGAGACCCTACGATAAATAAACACAAGGAATTGTTTAGGGAGGGCCTATGACAACAGAGAAACTGCAATAAATAAACTCCACAATCTGTTTCTCAGAGACCCTATAATAACAAACCTGTAAGTTCAGCTCCAGGAAGACCCTACAATAAATAAACACCAGGATCTGCTTTGGGGGGGGACCCTATAATAGCAAGTGTGCCAAACCCCTCTGGGGAGATCCTGTGATATGCAAGCACCAAGAATTGTTTGGGGACACCCTCCAGTAACAAGCCAGTGGGATTTGCTCAGGGTAGACCCTACAATAACAAAGAGATCCTATGATAAATAAGCGCCAGGATCTGCTTTGTGGAGACCCTACAATAACAAACCAGCAAGGTGATCTTCAGGGAGACCCTAAAATAGCAAATGAATCCTACAGTAAATAAGCACCAAAACCTGCTTAAGGTGGGCCCTACAATAATAACTCCTTGTGTCTTCTCTTGAGAAATCCTACAATACCAAAACTGTGGGGTGGTCTCTGTGAAAACCCTACAATAACAAATGGGCCAGCTCCTCCAGGGAGACCCTACAATTAATGAACACTAGCATCTATTTCTGGGAGACCCTACAATAACAAATATGATCTCTGGGGAGACCCTACAATAAATAAACACCACAACCCACCCTGGGGAGACCCTACAATAACACACCAGTGGCATCCACCCCAGGGACACCCTGGGCCAGGGGGCAGGAAGGGGCTGTGGCCCCCCAGAGGGGTCCCTGGTGACAACGATGACACCGAGGAGGGGACCCAATGGAGGGGACAAGGGCGTCCCTGGGCAAACAATGGCACTGGGGAGGGGACAGAGGGTTTGGGGGACATGGCACCATTGTCACCTGCACAGGGACACTCTGGCAGGGGACTCTGAGGGGGATGACACGCGGGGGTCCCCAGGAGCCCTCCCCCCTCCCGAGTGTCCCCCCGCCCCAGTTTCCCCTACAGCGACAGACACCGGAGCCTCGCAGCACCTTTATTGACACCGGCGGGGGTGGCACCGTCCGGGGGGGGTGCCCGTGTCCCCCGGGGGGGTGTGGCAGTGTCAGCCCGTGCCCCGGCGCTTGCTGAGCTCATCCTGCACACGCTGGCACAGGGCCCTGCGCAGGGGGGGCTCCAGGGGGCTGCGGGCGCACACCCGGCGTGTCACCTCCTCCGCGCTGTCCCCCTGGGGGGGACACGGCACCGCTGGGGCCACGGCACCCCGGGACCCCCGGGGCACCCACAGCACCACCCCCTGTCCCACAGAGCCACCCCACTGCCCCACGGGACCCCCCCACTCAGTGGGCACCCCCTGTCCCACAGAGCCACCCCGCTGCCCCACGGGACCCCCCCACTCAGTGGGCACCCCCTGTCCCACAGAGCCACCCCGCTGCCCCGCGGGACCCCCCCACTCAATGGGCACCCCCGCCCCACAGCACCTCCCACTCGCAGCATCCCGACCCTGTGGCACCCCCCCTGTCCCACAGCAGCACCTCCGACCCCACGGGACCCCCCAGCCACCCAATGGGTACCCACTGCGCCCCACGGCACCCCCTCTACCCATGGTAGCACCCCTGTGCCACTGACACCCCCCGCACCCCAACCCTGCCCCACAGAACTCCCCCAGTGCCCCGTGCCCCCGCCCCGGGGTCCCACCTGGTGCACGATCACGGCCGTGACCGTCCCGTCGTCCCCCTCGTACTCGAGGCAGAAGAGCCACGGCCCCCGGGAGGGTCGGGGGGGCCCCACGGGGTCGCCGGGCGGGGGCCCACGCTGGCATCGCCCCCAGGACCCCCTGTGGCACCTGCACCCTCAGGGGGCTGTGAGACCCCCAGGGTGCCCTAACCCAGCACCCCCTCAGTGCCCCAAAACACACCTGGGGTGTCCCCCGACCCCTCCACCCTTGAGTGCCCCCTCCCACCTCCAGCCCACCCAGGGTGCCCCCATTCCCCACCCATCTCCTGGATGCTCCCCCTTGTCCCTGCCCTCCCCACCCCTTGGTGCCCCCATTCCTGTCACCACCACGGGCGCTCCCCACCCCTGACCCCCTCCCAGTGCCCCCTCAATCCCCAGTCCCCGCTGGATCCCCCTCCCCACCCAGGGCTGCCCCCATCACTGCCACCCCTGGATGTCTCCAGCACCGAGGATGCCACCCCTTCCCCACCCATCTCCCGGGATCCCACCCGGTGTCCCCGCACCTTGGTGACCCCCAGCCCCCAGGGGTGCCCTCGCCCTCATCCCCCCCGGATCGCCCGGTCCCCCATCCCTCCCGCCGTGCCCCGCTCACCGCAGCCGCGGGGCCGGTACACCTGCTGGTCGGGCCGGCGGGGCCGGGCGGGGTGAGGGTGAGGCGGAGTGCAGGCCCGGCCCGCGCCTGCCGCACGGCGCGGTCGTACGCGTCCCTGCGGCGGCAGCCGGTTACCGGGGCCGGCGGGAGGGGCGCGGAGCCGCCGGGTGGGGAACGGTGGTGTTACCTGGCGAGCTGGTTGCGGCGGATGTGCCGCACGAAGCCGTGGCTCATGTCGAGCCGCCCGCCCGGCCGGCAGCGCCAGCCCGGGGCCGGGGCCGCCTCCATCCCGGTTCCCGGGAAGGGAGTCGGTCCCAGTGTCGGTTCCGGGGCCGCGGCGCCGCTAAGAGCCCCGCCCCTTCAGCCGAGCGCGCGCACGGCGCTCCCCATCCCCGCGCATGCGCAGTGGCCGCGCCGCCGCCGCCATGTCGAGCCGCGGGCGGCGGGAGCGGGAGCGGGACCCGCGCGGGCCCGGCCGGGGCCGCCGCGACCCTGAGGGGGAGAAGGGGCGGGAGCGGCGGGACCCCGAGCGCGACCGGGCGCGGAGGGGCGCGGCGGGGGCGGCGGCGCTGCCCGTGGACCTCGCGCGCGTCAAGCGGGAACCGGGCACCGGCGGCGCCGCCGCCTCCGGGACAGGATCGGGGCCGCCCCCGCCGCGCCCGTGCGGGTGAAGCGAGGCAGGAGCCCGATGGAGACTCCGACCCTGAGCCCGAAGCCCGCCGGTGGGAACGGGGGGTGAACCGGGGGACACGGCGGCAGTGGGGGCTGAGGGGGCCGCACTGGGAGTGCGGGGAGGGCACGGGGTGGAGGGGACTGGGGGGACTGAGGGACAGGGGTTGTCCCGGGGACACTGGGTTGGGAGGCAGGACGGTGCCACGGGGGTGGATTGGGGTGTCTGGCGAGGGGGCACTGGGGGATGGACACCCTGGGGTGTGTCAGGGGACACCCTGGGGTGTAGGGGAGGCACCCGGGGGTGGGAGGGGCGGGGAATGAAGGGATGGAGGGGACATGCCAGGGTGGGAGTGGGGTGTTGGAGGGGACAATGTGGGGCAGGACACACCAGGGTTTCCCGAGGGGACTCAGGGGCTCACTCTGGGGGTGGTTGGAGGCACTGGGGGAAGCTGGGGCTCAGCCCCAGGGGTCTGTAACGAGGGGGGCATTACCCTGATGCTGTCAGGGCCCTGTGCCCCCCTCTAACACCTCCCTTGCCTCCCCAGTGCGCTACGGCCGCTTCGACCCCGAGGACCAGCGGAGCCGCCACTGCCCCTACCTGGACACCATCAACAAGTGGGTGATGAGGGGCTTCGGGGGGCTCCCCCTGTCCTTCCTGGGGGTGCCCCTGTCCCTGGGGGTTCCCACAGCCCCCCTTACAGCCCTGTGACCCTCCCCAGGAGCGTCCTGGACTTCGACTTCGAGAAGCTCTGCTCCATCTCCCTGTCCCACATCAACGTCTACGCCTGCCTGGTCTGTGGGAAGTACTTCCAGGGTGAGCCCTGCCCCGGTGCTGGGGGGGACATGGGGACAGCAGGGACACCTGGGGGCTGCAGGGGGAGCAAGGGGACAGCAGGGACACCCAGGGACTGGGGTGCTGAGGGGGACAGGGGCATGCAGGGATGGAGGTGGTGCTGGGGGTGTCCCTTTCTTGTCCCCCCCCGAGCCCGTGGTGTCCCCCCTGTCCCCGCAGGCCGCGGGCTGAAGTCCCACGCCTACATCCACAGCGTGCAGCTGAGCCACCACGTGTTCCTCAACCTGCACACCCTCAAGTTCTACTGCCTGCCCGACAACTACGAGATCATCGACTCCTCCCTCGAGGACATCACGGTGCGGGGGCAGCGTTGGGGTCTGGGGGTTCAGGTGTGGGTCCCCCCTTTCTAGGGGGTCAGGTGTGGGTCCCCCCCGTTCTGAGGGGTCCCTCTCCCCGCAGTACGTGCTCAAGCCCACCTTCACAGCCCAGCACATCGCCCACCTGGACAAACAGGCCAAGCTGTCCCGGGCCTACGATGGCACCACGTACCTGCCTGGCATCGTGGGGCTCAACAACATCAAGGCCAACGACTACGCCAACGCCGTGCTGCAGGTCATAGGGGGACAGGCTGGGAAACATCGCAGAACCCCCCAAAACCCACTGGGGGGCTCGTGGGATCGAGTCCCACCTTTCCTACGGCAGATAGGCTGTGGGGGTGTACAGGCTTTGTTTGGGGTGAGCCCCCAGCAAAGCCCCTCTCGGGGGGTCTCAGGGAGAATCCCACATTTTTTCCCACGGGTTTTACAGCTTGGAGGTATGGGTTTTGTTTTGGCATGAAAGTCCTGCATAGTCCAGCTCCAGATGGAAGTTCTGAGGATGAATCCCACCTCTTGCCTCGTAGGCTTTACACACAGGGGGCATGCAGGCTTGTTTTGGGGTGAGAGCCCCCCGTAACCCCTAAATCCCTGCTCAGGGATGAATCCCACCTCCTACCCCATGGGCTCTACATCTGGTGGGGGTGTAGCCCTCAGAAGCCCTCCAGAACCCTCCCAGATCCCCTCTCTGGGGGTCCCAGGGGTTGAATCCCCCCCCTGCTGCCCCCCAGGCCCTGTCCAACGTGCCCCCCCTGCGGAATTACTTCCTGGAGGAGGAGAACTACCGGCACATCCAGCGCCCGCCCGGGGACATCATGTTCCTGCTGGTGCAGCGCTTCGGGGAGCTCATGAGGAAGCTCTGGAACCCCAGGAACTTCAAGGCTCACGTGTCCCCCCACGAGATGCTCCAGGCCGTGGTGCTCTGCAGCAAGAAGAACTTCCAGATCACCAAGCAGGGTGGGGTTGGGGGGAGCCAGGGCTGGGACTTGGGGGAAGGGGGGCAGAGTTGGGTTTGAGGGGTCTGGATTTGGGGAGCGGGGCTGAAATTTAGGGGCAGTGCTGGATCTGGGGAGGAATGTGGGGTTTGGGTGGCAGAGCTGGACCCAGGGAGCTGTGGATTTGGGGGTCTCTGCACTCGGGGTGCAGTGCTGGGCCTGGGGGACAACACTGGATTTGAGAGGTAGTTCTGGACCTGGGATGCTCTGGATTTGGGGGGGCAGTGCTGGACCCAGGGCTTTCTGGATTTGGGAGGCCAGGCTGGATTTGAGGGAACAGCAGGATGTGTGAGGGACAGTGCTGGGTGAGGCAGAGCAGGATCTGGGGTCAGCTCTGGCTCCAGCCCTGCCATGTCCCCATTGCAGGGGACGGGGTGGAATTCCTGTCCTGGTTCCTGAACGCTCTGCACGCGGCGCTGGGCGGCACCAAGAGGAAGAAGAAGAGTGAGTGGTGGTGGGGGGAGATTTTGAGGGATCCAGGGGGGATTACTGCCCCCCTGGTCCACACTGAGCCCCCCCTGTCCCCACAGCCATCGTCACCGACGTGTTCCAGGGCTCCATGCGCATCTTCACCAAGAAACTGCCACACCCCGACCTGGTGGGGCCAGGGGGAACAGGGGGTTGGGGTCACACAGGGTGTTGGGGTACAGTGGAGGGGTTGGGGTCACACAGGGTGTTGGGGTACAGTGGGAGGGGTTGGGGTCACACAGGGGTGTTGGGGTACAGTGGGAGGTGATGAGTTCAAATGGGGGGTGAGGCCATGGGGAGGTCTGGGAGAGGGTGTTGGGGTACAGTGGGATATGGTGGGGTGTGCTGGGGTCAAACAAGGGGTGGTGAGGTGCAGCTGGGGGTGTCGGGGTCAAATGGCAGGTATCGGGGTCCAGCGGGGTGGTGGGGTACCGTGGGGGGTTAGCAGGGTAGAATGGGGGGTGATATGGTCCAATGGAGGGTGTCAGGGTCCGGTGGAGGGTGTTGGGGTCCCACAGGGGTGTCACCCTCGGGTCCCACCCCCCAGCCAGCAGAGGAGAAGGCGCAGCTGCTGCAGAACAGCGAGTACCAGGAGCGCATGGTGGAGTCCACCTTCCTGTACCTGACCCTGGACCTGCCCACGGCCCCGCTCTACAAGGACGAGAAGGAGCAGCTCATCATCCCCCAGGTGCCCCTGTTCAGCATCCTGGCCAAGTTCAACGGCAGCACCGAGAAGGAGTACAAGACCTACAAGGAGAACTTCCTGAAGCGCTTCCAGCTGACCCGCCTGCCCCCCTACCTCATCTTCTGCATCAAGCGCTTCACCAAGAACAACTTCTTCGTGGAGAAGAACCCCACCATCGTCAACTTCCCCATCACGTGAGCCTGGCGGGCCGGGGAGGGGAGTTAAAGAATCCAGGAGGAGACTGGGGGCGTTGATGATGTCTAGGGATGGCTGTGGGTACGTGGAGGGGGTTGTAGGTATCTAAGAGGAGTTGAAAGCATCCAGGAGAGGGTTTAGCGTTTGAAATCACCTGAAGGGGCTTTGAAGGCACCTGGGGAAGGGTTGGGAGCACCTGATAGGGTTTAAAACCACTTTGGAGGGTATTTGGGGCACGTGGGGGATGTTTGAAGGTGTCCAGGGGAGGGTTCTAGTGTACCTAGGAGATAGTAAAGGCATGTGGGAGGGCGTTTGAAGGGGCCTGGAGAAGGTTTGTGGGTGTCAGTGGGGGTTGTAGGCATCTGGGAGTGGTTCATGGGCATCTTGGGGGGTTCTGTGGGTATCGAGGAAGGGTTTGAGAACATCTGGGGGGAGTTGATTTCACCTGGGGAGGGTGGGGGAGGCATCAAGAAGGGGTTTGGGGGCATCTGGGGAGGGGGTTGTCCCTGCATCTGGAGGGGGTTTGGAGGCATCTGGAGGGGCCTGTGGGTGCTCCCCTGCCCCCCTGAGGCGCGTGGGGTGCCCAGGAACGTGGACCTGCGGGAGTACCTGTCGGAGGAGGTGCAGGCGGCGCACGCGCACACCACCTACGACCTCATCGCCAACATCGTGCACGACGGGAAGCCCTCGGAGGGCTCCTACCGCATCCACGTCCTCCACCACGTGAGTGTCCCCCCCCCAGGGGGCATTGGGGGGCCCTCAGCAACCCCCTGGCTCACCCTGTCCCCTCCTGGTCCCGGCAGGGCACAGGGAAGTGGTACGAGCTGCAGGACCTGCAGGTGACCGACATCCTGCCGCAGATGATCACCCTGTCCGAGGCCTACATCCAGGTGAGGGGGGCAGGGGGCAGCTGGCACCCCCAGAGTGTCCCCTGGCACCCCAGAAGGTGCCCTGACCCTCCCTCCCCATCTCCCACAGATCTGGAAGCGGCGTGAGGAGGATGAGACAAACCAACAAGGGGCCTGAGACCCCCAGGGACACCCCCAGCCCCCTTGGGACCACCTAGAGACCCCCTTGGGGTCACTCCCGGTCCCTTGTGGAGACCTAGAGACCCTTCTGGGGACACCCCGAGCCCCTTGGGGACACCTTGAGCCCCTTGGGATCACCCATAACCCCTCTGGGGACACCCCAACTCCCCCCCCCGCTGTGTCTCTCCCCACCCCAAATAAATGCCACCCACTTATTTTTGTAATTCATCTTTCACCTTTTTTCTTCTTTGTGTTTAGGGGGTCGTGGTTTCCATTGTTCCCCCCATGACCCCTCAGCACCCCGTGACCCCTGGGAACACCCCAAAAAACTGGGGACGCTGAGGCAGAGCTGCATCCAAGCTTTATTGGGAAGTGCTGGGGGGGGCTCCCAGTGCCCTCCTACAGCCAGACGTGCTCCTGGCAGTGCTGCAGGGCCTAGGGGGCACAGAGGGGTCAGTGGGGGGCGCGGGGGGTGCCACCCCTCCGTGTCCCCCCTGTCCCCACTCACCTGGCAGCGCCGGGCGGGCTCGGGGCCGGAGCACCAGTACAGGGGGCCCAGGGCACAGGGGCCCAGGGGGGGCGACAGCGCAGGAGGGGCAGCACCCTTGAAGTCCTGCAGGGGGGACATGGGGGTCAGGGGTCACCCCAAGGGTTGGGACACCCCTGGGAGCCTCCTGAAACCCCCTCCCCAGGGCTGTGACATCCTTGGGGTGTCCCTTGGTGTTGTGACACTTGGTGCCCCCCTCCACTTGGGTCACTCTTGGAGTGTCCCTTTTGTGGCCTGTGACGCCCTTGGGGACCCTGTCACTGTCCTCGGAGTGGGGGTGGCATCTTCTGGGGACCTCAGGGCGTGCCCAGGGGTGGTGGGACTCCCTAGGGGCTGTGACACTCCTGGACTGTGACACTCAGGGCTGTGCCACCCTTTGTGTCCCTACCACGGCCCCTGGGGACTGTGACACCCTTGGGATGTGTCCCAAGGACCGTGACACCCCAGGACGTGTCCCCTCGGGGCTGTCCCACCCTGAGGTGCCCCCGAGACCTTTCCCCCCGCCGTGCCCCCCTCACCTCGGGGCTCACGCACTCCGCCAGCCGCACCACGATGGTCTCCAGGAGCGCGGGCGGTGCCCAGGTCCCCACATCCTCGTCCCCAGCGCCCCGGCAGGCGAGCAGCAGGCGGCACAGCAGGCGGGGGCCCAGGCGGCCCAGCAGCCCCTCGAGCAGCAGGGTGGCGTAGCGCTGGGCCAGGCACTGGCAGGCGCCCACTGCCACGAGCGGCAGCGCCCGGCACAGCCCCGTGGCCGCCGCGGCCACCCTGGGCACGGGGATGGCGGCCTCGGCCTGCGCCACGAAGGTGCGGCACAGCCAGCACAGCGGCAGCGGCATCGGCAGCGCCTCCGCGGCCACCGCGGGCACCTGCGGGAGGGAGGGAGGGAGGGAGGGACGGGGTCACCCTGAGCCTCCCGTGGCACCCAAGAGCCCCTGGAGCCCAGAGCCGGGAATGTGGGGGGGGATCGCTCCAGCCCAGGGGGCTGCGGCGCCCTGTGGTTGTTGGCTCCGGAGCACGGTGATGGAGCTGCCCCGGCTGTGCTCGCCAAGCGGGCTCCGGCCCCGCGGTGACCCTGCTGACACCCACGGAGCCACCCCCGCTGCCCCCCAGGCCCCCCGTACCTGCGGGTGGGTGCCGATCACCCCGAGGGCGGGCACGGCCGCGGCACCCCCGGGCTCTGCCTGGCACAGCTGCAGCTTGGCACAGATCTGCCGGGGCACCTGGGGGGCAGGACAGGGACCCCAGTACGGGGCACCCCACGACCAGGTGACCCGAGTGTCCCCGAACCCTCCGCACCCCGAGGTGTCCCTGAACCCCCGGTGCCTGGAGGTGTCCCCAAACCTGCAGCAGCCCAGGGGTTCCCTGGATGGCACAGTGCCCCACTGCCCCCAGCCCCCCGAGATGTCCCCAGGTGCCACAGTGTCCCCAAGGCCCCAGCACCCCGGAGTGTGCCCCGGTCGTGTCCCCCCCGGTGGCACTCACGAGGTGCTGGAGCTCCCAGAGGACGCGCGGGACGAGCGTGTGAACCACAGACTGGCACGGGACCGCCAGGATGGGCAGCGGGAGGCACAGAGCCCTCAGCGCCTGCTCCACTGCCACCTGCGCCGGGGCACCCACAGTGACACCCGCGGGGACACCACAGGGACACCCACAGGGACACCACAGGGACACCCACGGGGACACACACCGGGACACCACAGAGACACCCACGGGGACACACACAGAGACACCCGCTACCGCCACACCCACCACCGCCACACCCATCACCGCTGCACCACCGGCACCCGTGGTGGCACCCGTGACCGTGGCACACATGGTGCCACCCATGGTGTCACTCGCCACCGTGGCACCCGCTGGCATCTGCCACCGCTTCACCCACCACCCCAGCAACCACGGTGGAACCCACAGTGGCACCCTCCACCATGGCACCCGTGGTGGCATCTGGGACCGTGGCACCCGCGGTGGCACCCGCAGCAGCAGCCACCACCTCAGCACCCACAGTGACACCCCCAGTGGCACCTCCCTCCATGACACCTGCTGGTACCCCCGGTGACACCCCCGGTGACACCCCCAGTGACACCCCAGTGACACCTGTGCCTGTGACACCCACGGTGGCACCCTCAGTGGCACCTCTGCCCCCCTGCCCCCACGGTGACCCCCACGGTGACCCCCATAGTGACACCTATGTCCCTGTCCCCGCTGTGTCCCCTGTCCCCGCGGGCACCTGCACGGTCGACTGGTTGGACACGCGGTGGAGGAAGTCGAAGAGCTGCTGGCAGATGGCACAGGTGTCCTGCGGGAGGGGACAGCGGGACACGGGGATGTGGGGGACATTGGGACTCTGGGACATGGGGATGTGGGGACACGGGGACATGGGGGCTCCGGGACTTGAGGGTGTGGGGAAATGTGGGTGTGGGGACAGGGGGAAGCAAGGAGGGTGCATGGGGACATGTCGGTGTGGGGCCATGGGAGGGTGCTGGGACTCCTGTGGATTTTGGGGACACACAGGGGGTAGAGGGACAGTGGGGGAGGGGCACAGGGGACACAGAAGGTGACAGGGACACAGTGGGGTGATGGGTGGGGGGTGATTGGGACACGGGAGTTGATTGGGACACGGGGGGTGATGGGGACACGGAGGGTGGTGGGACACGGGGGATTCTCTCACCACATCAGGGGGTCTCTGGGTGAGGTGGGGGCAGTGCTCCAGGGCCCCGCAGCGCAGGGCAGTCTCCCAGCTCTGGCACCAGGCAGAGGGGGGCACCCCACAGCCCCCCCCGGGTGCCCCCAGACCTGCGGCCACCGTGAGTGCCCAGCCAGGGAGGCAGGGAATCCAGGACCTCCCCCGTAGATCCCCCCACTATCTCATCACAACCCTCCCGGGGGAACCTGAGCACCTGGGACCCCCAAATACATCCCCCCAAGCCCTCAGGGGGACTGGGTCTCCAGGACTCGTCCCCTGCCCCCAGTATACCCCCCAATACCCCATCCCAGTGGGGCCCAGGCACCCAGGACCCCACTCCCCCAAAATGCACACACCACCCCAAAACTCCACCCCCTCCCTCCATGGGGGGACCCGCCTGTCTGGGACCCCCAACCCAACAACCTGTCCCCTCCAAGATGCCCTTTCCCACCCCCAGAGCTCATGGGGGGGGAGCCAAATGTCGGGGACCCCCCCGATAACACCCCCCCAATACCCCGAGACCCCAAGGGGGCATTCAGGGCTCCCCCTCCCCCCAAGGGGCACCCCGGTGTCTGAGCCCCCTCACCCCACAGCAGGGTCCCTGCGGGTGCCCCAGCTCTGGGGGTGCCCCCTGGTTAAGGGGTGTGGGGACCCTACCTGGGGCGACCACGAGCAGGGCGAGGAGCAGCGGCAGAGCCAGGGCCATGGCGGGGACGGGGACAGGGACAGTGGCCGTGCTGGCAGGGCTGAGCCCGGGGCCTCTTATAGCGCTGCGGGACCGGGTCCTGGGACGGTGCCAGCGCTCGGGGACAGGTGTGTCACAGCCGCGGGGACACGGGGGGGGTGGCCACCCCCACTCTGTCACCCTGCCACTGACCCCACGTCCCTGTGTCCCCTATGGCCATGTCCCCATCAGGGACCCCCTTCGAGGTCTCCATGTCCCCACTGGGGTCCACGTTGTGGTCCCTGTGTCACCACGGACCCCATTGGAGTGCCCATGTTCCCACCCACCCACATTCCCTCCATGTCCCCAGTCCCCCCATATCCACCCCCATCTCCCATGTACCCCCACCCCCAGACCACCAACACCCCTCTGCCGTGTCCCCATACCCCCAGGTCCCCACGTCCCCCCGTGTCCCCACAGTCCTACACCCCAATGTCCCCCCATGTCCCCCCTCACTCCCTTGTTCCTCCTGCTCCCCTGCATCCCCCCGCCCTCCCATGTCCCTCCAGAACCCTCGATGTCCCCATGTCCCCACACCCCCGTGTTCACCCCTTTTTCCCTTGTCCCCCCTGTATTCCCCTGCCTCCATATGCCCATGTCCCCCTCATGTCCCCACACTCCCATGTCCCCCTCCACCCCCAATGTCCCCGTATCTCCCCCGCTCCCCAGTCCTGCCCTTCCCCTCTCCTCGTCCCCCGCCACTCCCCGGGTGTGGCCCCCCACTCCCTTCCCGCAATGTCCCTCCCCGGTCACCTTGTCCCCACTTTGCCACTGGAGAGCCCTCACCGCGGGTGCGGCCGGAGGCCGGGCCCCCCACGGGGGTGTCACCTGGCCCAGGTGAGGCCACCTGGAGGGCACCAGGGTGGCACAGCCCTGCCCGGCCCCGCGGTGCCCCCCGTGCCCCTCTGCCGGCCCTGCCCCACCCGCCGTGCCCCTCTGGCATAGGGGTGACCCCCCCTTCCAGCTCAGCTCACCCCAACCCCCCCACCCCGGGACAGGGGGGCGAGGCCAAGGGACAAAGCTCCAGATTTGGGATGTGTTTTCCCATGAAGGTTTTGGGGGCACAGGAGGTGGCAGAAGGACTTGGGGCACACGGGGTGGCACAGGGAGGGGGGGCACACAGTGGCAGAGGGACGGGAGGTGGACACAGGGAGGCAGAGGGACACAGGGGTGGGACTGGCATGGGGGCTTCGATGTGGAGCTGCTTGAACTGTGAAACACCCCCACCCCAGAGCCCTGAACTCCCCTTGAACAACCTCCCCTCCCCAATCTGGGGGCTCTCCTGACATGGGGGTCTCCTTTGGGGGTCTGGGAGGGCACTTGGCTCATAGGTGGCAGGGATTTGGGGGAATATGGTGGATTTGGGGGGGGGCACACAGACAACATTCCCAACTCCCTTCCCTCTGGCTCCCAGCAGCTTTTCCCATCTGTGTTGGGTTTGTGTGCCCAGGTTCTAGGGATGGTTTCTGTGAGAAGCTGCCAGAAGCTTCCCCAGTGTCCGGCAGAGCCAATTCCAGAGGCTCCGGGATGGATCTGGCACTGGCCAAGGCCGAGCCCAGCAGAGATGGCAGCGACGCCTCGGGGAGAACGAACTGAAGGAGGAAAAAGTTGTTGTGCAGGTGAAAATTGCAGCCAGAGAAGAGCAGAGTGAGAACGTGTGAGAGGAGCAGCCCTGCAGAGCTCCAGGGCAGTGCAGGAGGAGGGGCAGGAGCTGCTCCAGCAGTGGAGATTCCCCTGAGATTCCATGGGAAAGCCCCTGGGGAGGCAGCTGAGCCCCTGCGGCTCGTGGAGGGTCAGGATGGGTCAGGGATCCACCTGCAACCCTGAAGAGCCCACCCGGAGCAGGGGGATGCCTGAGCCGGACTGGAACCCCTGGGAGGCCTGTTCTGGAGCAGGTCCTGGTGGGGACCTGGAGAGAGGAGCCCAGGCTGGACAGGTTTGCTGGAAGGACGTGAGAGCCTTTGGGGGACCCTTGGAGCAGGGGGAGGACTCGGACTGGTCTCCCTGAGCAGCAGCAGAAACAACCCCCGTGGTGAGCTGACCGTGCCCCCCATTCCCGTCTCCCTGGGCTGCTGGAGGGGGTGAAGGGAGAGCCCGGGCAGGAGGGAGGGATGGGGGCAGGTGTTTGTAAAGCTCTGATTTTGTTGGTAATAAACTCAGTGTATATCCCCCCGGTGAGTCTGTTTTGCCCAGCACTGGGATAAACCCCACCCTGGGAGCAGCACTGGGATAAACCACATCCTAGGAGCACCCAGGAGGGCTGAGGGCTGGAAGATGCAAGATGAGGGGTGTAGGATGTGGGACATGGATGAGGGATATGGGATGGAGACTGTGGGATGAGAAGAATGGGATGAGAGCAGGAAGGCTCAGCAGAGGGATCTGGACAGGCTGGATTGAGGGGCAGAGGCCAACAAGGGTGAGGGTCCTGCCCTTGGGCCACAACAATCCCCCTGCAGTGCTCCAGGCTGGGGAAAGAGTGGCTGGAAAGCTGGGAAAGGACCTGAGGGTGTTGGTGGCAGTGGCTGAACGTGAGCCCAGGGGTGCCCAGGGGGGTAGGAGGCCAATGGCCCCTGGGCTGTCCCAGCCATGGTGTCACAGCCCCAGGGCAGGGACTGTCCCTGTGCTGGCCCTGCTGAGGTCCCTCCAGGGCTGTGCCCAGGGCTGGGCCCTCAAGAAGAGACACTGAGGGGCTGGAGAGTGTGCAGGGAAGGGAAGGGAGCTGGGAAGGGGCTGGAGCAGCTGAGGGAGCTGGGGGGGCTCAGCCTGGAGAAAAGGAGGCTCAGGGGGGACCTTCTGGCTCTGCAATCCCTGACAGGAGGGGGGAGCCGGGGGGGAATTCGGGCTCTGCTCCCAGGGAACAGGGACAGGAGGAGAGGGAACAGCCTCAGGCTGTGCCAGGGGAGAGCCAGGTGGAACATCAGGAGGAATTTCTTCAAGGAAGGGCTTGTCAAGCTCTGGAAGGGGCTGCCCAGGGAGGTGGGGGAGTCCCCACCCCTGGAGGTGTCCCAGGAACGACTGGATTGGCCCCGAGTGCGATGGCTGAGTGGGATGGTGGGGATCAGTCACCAACTGCACTCCATGCTCTCAGGTCTTTTCCAACCTAAATGATTCCAAGCTCCTGTGATGTGGGATGGAGGATGCAAGATGAGGGATGGGGCTGAGGGCTCTGCCTTCCCAGGGGTCTGGATCCCCATTCCCACCATCCCCCAGGTGCCTCCTGCTCCCTCCCTGCAGCAATTCTGGTTCCTAACACGGCTCTTTCGTAACGAAATAATTTATTTCCTAACAATCAAACAAGACAGAAATATCCATGGACACAGCAAAGGTCTCCTAAAACACGGAATTCCTAAAAAAAAAAAAAAAAAAAAAAAAAAAAAAAAAAGCACCATTCCATTGGCTTGACATGGGATTCGGCCCGACAACGGGATATTTACAGCAGGAACGGCTGGAAATGGGATCCACTCCCGACTGCCCGAGGGAGCCGAGGCCGGGGCGGATCCGCTTCTTGGGAAGCAAAAGGAACAGAAAAAAACGATGGGAAAGCACAAATAAGAGGTGCCCCAAAGAATCATAAAGGAAAGGTTGAGCGGAGACGGGGTGGCTCCACTGGAGAAATTCAGGATGAAACAAACATTTTGGTACTTCCCGGGAGCCAGCGGTTCAGGATCTGCCTTCCACAAGGAAAAAAGAAAGGAAAACCAACCCACAGACGGGTGGGTTTGATTCCCGCCCATCGTGTCCCGATACGACTCCTCCCACTCCCTGGATTTTTATCACAATCTATAAAAAAGTCCTTCCTGCAGCTTATTTCGTAGGAATGCTGGTGGATCAGTGAATTCCAGGAAAAGGCTGGCATGGCGCAGGGGGGCCCCCAGACCCGCCGGGCTCCAGCCTCGTTCCAGGTTAGTGCAGCGTTTGGGGGTTCCCGGAGCACAGCCCGGCAGTGCCAAGGGCCGGGAAGGGTCAGGTTGGGACAGGGAGGAGGAAAGGGGGGAAAAGAAAAGGTGTTGGGAACTGCAAAAGGCACAAACCTGCCCAAACCCCTCATCTGTGCTGAGGCGAAACCTTCGGAATGTCCAAAACCAACCCAAAACCAACGTTTGGGACCTCGGGAAGGGTTTTCCCAGCGCCAGGAATCACCTGCCCGGAGGGACCTGCTGGGATTCCCCTGGTAAGGGACAGATCTGGCCAAACACCAGCGGAGCCACCGGCCCCCAAGGGCTGATATTCCACTTGTTCTCGGTGTTTTCCATCTTTTTGCCTTTTTTTTCCCCTCTTTTTGAAGGCGCAGGGGGTCGAGCTCAGGCGCCCATGGGCTGTGGTGATGCCGGAGGGTGGGAAATTCCAGGGGCTTTAAAGGAAAATCCCTCGTGGTTTGGGTTTTTTTTTTCCTAAGAATCAACACATGGAAAAAGAGCCGAAACCTGGGGGATTTGGGCAATTCCTGGGGCCTTGGGCAGCTTCCTGATTCCCAAATGGGCCAGAAATGGGACTGGGGTCTGAAGGGAAGGGAGAGAAGGAGAAAAGGAAAGATGGGAAATAAGAGAGGAAGGGAAATGGGACAGGAAAAAGGAAAAGAACTGGAGTTTCCCCCTCATCCCCTTGCACTCCGTGGAGCGTCTTGGTGCCTCTCAGCACCTGCAATTCCTGAAGAAAAGGGGCCCTCAGAGCCTGTTTCTTATCCCAGCGCCGGGAAAAGCCCTTGGAGAGCTCCCTGCCGGACACTGAGGCCTCACTGACCCCACGGGGCTGGAGCGAGGGGGTCCCGAGGGGCTGGAAAACCCTTGGAGCGGCCCGAAGGGAAAAGGAAGGTGTGGAAGGCAGAGCTCTAAGTGCCAACATTCCCAGAGCAGCTCTAAAAGCAGGAAGTGGTGGGAATGTTCCCTCCAGTGCATCGGGAAACGAACAAACACCACGGACAGCTCAGTGTGCTCCGGCTCGGGACCCCCCGCCCTCGGGGGTTTCTCTCCCTGAGGCGGCTT